CAGTGATGCAGCTTTCATGAGTCATCACTCACACTTTCTGGTGATGCAGCTGCACAATTATGCTCCTATAAGTAACCCCAATAAATTCATACTTCTCCAAGCTGGACTTGAAAGAAATTTTATTTGGTCTATTGTTGCCCTATCTTGGGTGAGTAGAAATGGACTCCAAGGAAAAGTCACACAACAGATGCCAAACCCAGTAGTCCTAGAGCTCACATGGAGATGGGGAGGGAACAAGGTAGGTACAGCTTTTCAGGTAGTTACTTCCTCTCTCCCTGTATCCAACCATCACAGCTCTCAAGTTTGTCTGTTCTTCTCTACCCTCACTACGGTCATCCAAATCCAAAACATTTTCTCATACCTAGATTAACTTTCTACCTGGTCTCTTTCCTTCCAGCCTGAGGACTTTTACTAAAACATTATCTAATCCATTCACTGCAACTGGAGAACTTCTAACAAAGTACAAATCAGATCTCATCACTGCCTGCTTAACACCCATCAGAATTTGTTTTCCAGCCCCTGTAAGGAGAGTTCCAGGCCTCCTCTGTCTATCCCCAGCCTATCCCTCCAGCTCACTGCTCCCACTGCTGCCCCTCAGGCTCCATACACTTCAGTAACTCTCAACTTCCCATTACTTGAACACATTCTGCTCTGTCACATAAATTTTTTATAATGCTCAGTCCTTGTCCTGGCTCTATCCCCACAGAATATGACAGATTATATAATCTAAGCCAGGAGATCAGGAATAATGACTTTTTTTTAAGTACTGGGAATTGAACCCAGGGCCTCATGCATATTAGTTAAGTGCTCTAATTCACAGCTACATGTTCACCCTTCTTTTTACTTCTTATTTTGAGATAGGACTCAAGCTTGCCAGGCTGGCCTTCAATTTATAATCTTCCTGCTCAGTCTCTTGAGTGGATTACAGGCCTGCGTCACTAGGCACAGCTAATAATGACTCCTTCCTTAACTACAACTTGAGGTTTTTGCAGTACCCAAAAGCTGTAAACACTTGAATAAATGATTCCCAGAAACCACGAGGGGTTATGATAGACCTAGAAGATCAAGGGACCACTTCTGCCTAACCAGACCTGGGAGCAAACTGGTCTCCAGGTGCCAAACTGTCCCAGGTTACTTAGCTTTTCTCTCTTGAGCACTGGCTGATGCTTCTAGGCAAAGAACAAGCTAAAAAACACCAAGTGAAAAACTACAGAGTTCATATTCTAGAAACTAAGAAAGACAAGGAAACTGGATTAAGTCTATAAGGTTTTATCTTTCCTTCACATCTTTCATCCACTGTATAAATGGCAGAGCAGTTCCAGGAGACAGGGAGAGGAGGAATATGGTCCGGTACTCTTCAGTGGAACACATCTTATTTACAGAAGTTGCCCTGCATTTGTCTAACATTTATGAATAAGAACAGAAAAAGACTGGTTTGGGGACAAATTAGAAAATAATATCTGAAAAGGGTATGTAATAAAATACCACAGGGATTTGTAATGGTTTGTTTTTTTCCCTAATCTTACTTTGTTTCCTTTGTTTGTTCAGGGGTTGGGGGTAGGGCTTTTCCCTCTCTCTTTCTCCTTCTCTCTTTCATAGGGAGACAGGGTTTCCCTATATAGGCCAGGCCTTGAACTCACTAGTCTCCTGCCTCAGCCTCCTGAATGCTGGGAATTAGGTGTGTGCTATCATGCCCAGCTTCAAGATATTATTAAAAACTAAGTTGCCTTGAAGGACGCCAGTGCCACCTGTAGTCACATTCCTGCCTAGAGACAAGGAGGGAAAGTAAGAAAGTCTCTATAGCACAGTTCACACAGAGCAGACTGCCTTCCAATTCAAGTACCCAGGAAACAACAGGCTACAAAAGTTGCTCGTAAGACTGTGCCCTCTACTGGACGGGTGAAGAAACATCCTTACAGGCCTGACATTGTGGCACTCAATATTAGCTGCTATCAGAAGCCCACGGAAGTTCAGACTCACAAACTCCTCTTTCAGTGTCTGGTATGAGAAACTGCTCAGTACTTCAAAACAGATCTGAATTTCTAGAACAAAACTGATGCTTTGGGGCTGGAGAGATGGCTCAGCAGTTAAGAACACTGGCTGTTCTTGCAGAAGACTCAGGTTCGAATCCCAGCACCAACATGGCAGCTAACAACTGTCCATAACAGTTCCAGGGGATCCAACAACCTCTTCTCTCCTCCGCAGGCATTGCACGACATGGGTGCACTTACATACATGCAGACAATACACGCATACACATAAAAATAATAAATAAATAAATAAATAAATAAATAGTATTTTTTAAAAAAACTGATGCTTTGTAACCTATCTGGTTGGCTAGTTTTGCCTTAAATTTTTTTAAAAGTTTTATTATTATCACATGAATATGATGTGGGTTGGGGTATGTGCCTACTACAGTACACATATGGAGGTCAGAGGAAAAGTTTGTGGAATTGGTTCTTTCCTTTTATCTTTACGTGGGTTCCAACTCGGGTCCTCAGGCTTGTGCAGCAAAGGCTTCTGGTTGAGCTTTTTGAAGATACCGTCCTGTGTGCTAACCATGCCAAAATGTAATATGCTTGAGAATCCACTACAACGCCCAGCAAGGTGGCACAGCCTTTAATCCAAGTGGGAGGCAGAGACAGAGGCAGGGTCAGAGGCAGAAGAATCTCTGTGAGTTCAAGGCTAGCCTGGTCTACACAGTGAGTTACAGATTAGCCAGGGTTACACAGTGAGACCTAGTCTCAAAAAAACAAAAAGAAAATCCATTATGATATGAAACATTTTTTTCTCCCGTCTTCCATATTGTTTTCATGTTGTTGAAGGGCACCTAAGTGTCTAATTGTGAATGGAAAAAGGTCAGAAATCAGGTATTGGTCATTTTCCCATTTTCCTTTGCATGTGAATTTTTAATATGAATGTGGGGTATAAAGCATTAATGAAAGTCAAAATGTTTCCGCAAACAAATTTCAACAGTTCGACTTTATAACAATCATAAATAAACTTGTTAAAACTTTCTGGACTATGCCAGCATCTGTATTCTTTAAAAACAAGTAACATTTAGGCTGGGAGTGGTGACATATGCCTTTAATCCCAGCACTCAAGAAGCAGAGGCAGGAATATCTCTGTGAGAACAAGGCCAGCCTGGTCTACATAGCTAGTTCCAGGTCATCTGGGGCTACATAGGAAGACCCTGTCCCAAAAGCAAAACAAAAGAAACAAAAAAGTAATAATTTTATTGACAGCAAAAAAAGGCAAGGCACTAAATTGCAAGTTTGCACATACTTGGGCAAAATGTCTATAGGATAGGAATAAAAATTCAGTGAACATAAGGGCAAAAAAAATCTGTGAACTTCTTCCTTCATAAGAAGCAACACTGGGGCTAGAGAGATGGCTCAGCAATTAAGAGCACTGGCTGCTCTTACAGTGGACCCGGGGTCAGTTTCCAGAACCCACAGTTCCAAGGTATCCCCTGATGCCCTCTTCTGGCCTCTGCAAGCACTTCATGTACGTGGTATACCTACATACACACAGGCAAAACACTCACACATAAAATAGGTGGTGCATGCCTTTAATCCCAGTACCCAGGAGGCAGGGGCAGGTGGATCTCTGTGAGTTCAAGGCCAGTCTGGTCTACATAGTGAGTTCCAGGACAGCTGGAGCTACAGGGATACAGGGAGACCCTGTCTCAAAAAGACCAAAAAAGAATCTTTAAAGAAAGCAGCAGCAGCACAGTGTTCTTCTCCTCAGCAGGGGTATTGATTTCAATGCTATATGCAGACATCTAATCTCATTTTTAGTCTGACTACAGAAATTAAAAATAGAAGAAAATTTTTCACTAACAGCGTTTGCATTTGGTCACTTATTTTTATCTGTAATGTGTTTCATGTTCAACAGACTTTGCTGTTTGTTTCCCTCTCCCTATATTTTCAAACCAATATTTGAATTGTTGTTTTTACTGTTTTTTGAGACAGGGTCTCATAATGTAGCACTGACTGACCTTAAACTGCAGCCTTCCTGCCTCAGCCTTCCAAACGCTGGAATTACAGACCTATACTACTATGTGTATCTCTTAAGCTAGAATATTAATCAATATGTATAGAAGCAAACCCAGGTAATGATATTAGACAATAAGAAAGCGTTGATATAAAAGCCTCACCACTCAAAAAATGTATTTCTCTCAGACAATATAATATATAATCTCAGTGACCCACTGCATTTGAGAAATGACTTATTCAGTAAATTCTTTATATGCCTCATAGGTAATCTCCTACAGCTAAGGGAGTTACTTGCTAGTCCTCCTCCTTGTCCTCCTCCTCCTCCTCATCGTGGTTTTCATCAAGCAGCCCAGGCTGGCCTCAAACTCACTATGTAGCCAAAAAATGACCTTGAACTCCTGATCATCCTGCCTCTGCCTCCCAAGTGCATCATAAGCACGCACCATTACACCTAATCAGATATACTCCTTCACTAAAATACTAAGTCTGAGCCAACCAGTATCAATCAGTTGATTCAACTTCACTACACTACACTCTACTGGCTCATGAAGCATTCTGCACCCCCAAAAGGAACTCTCCTGCATCTTGGAAGGTCTCGGGTGTAGACTTCTCAGGATTTTACCAAACTCAACCAGAAAGTATTTCCTGAGTCCTTCTTAGGCTTGCTCCTCCAAGAGAGATGAAAGATTATATTACACTATATAATTATTTATATTATGGTAGGACATTTCTACCAAATGTATTTTGTATTTTTAAAACTAAAGCTTTTGTTTTTGTTTCTATTCAATTCATATTTTGACGTTTACATAAAAGAAGTCAAGAGATAATGGCACCTGAGAACATCTGCCCCATGTCAGCCATAACCATGACACTATGCCATGGCCACAGCATTCATACATCCCTCTAGGGTACAAAACAGTAACTTTCCCTGTTGTTTCTTAGGCTTAGCAACTCTAAGAACAGGTGAATTCTAGAAGCCATGGATACAGCTGCCCCACTCACCTCACATCCACCTCGCCGCCAATGTGCATGAGAAAAGAGCCGTCGGGTTGCTTCAGGGAGTACAGATACTGAAGAAGCTTCTCTCTGAGAAACAGCGGGGAGAGGGAGAAGGCAATGGTCAGTGCAGGGCCTTGTGCCCTCCTGAGTCTGCATCACTGACGGCCAGGGCTTTACCTGTTAATGATGTTGTAGGCCTCCTCAGTGCCAATGATGCACAGTGCATTGACAGCTGCATACGTGGGTGCAAGGTGTGGGTACTGCCCAGGGCCCCCTCCAAAACCACCTTCTGGGCTTTGACACAGCTCCAGGAATTGACACACACTAGGTCCATGGTCAAAGGGAAAAACAAAGTCAAACAGTATTAATTTCAAAACACCAAATTCCCCCTGAGATCCCATATTTTACTAATTATCTCCCTACCTTCAAATGGAGAGGAAAAAACCCTTCCCACTTGTTGACTACAATCTGCCCCCAAAAGAACAACTCTTTACCCAGCTATCGTCAGTTTTGTTAAGTACTCTCAACGTTTGTATTTAATTGCCTAGACATAAAGCAAAAAACACGAGGCTAGGAGGAAACATTTCATAGATTTTGGGCTGAGTATCATGCTTCTTGACAAACCTTTCACGTCTCTCACTAAACTTGTCACCCTGGACTTGTGGCACCCGTCTCCTCCTTGCCTCTGAGGACCCCACAGTCTTCAGATTCTGCCTAGAACTCAGGATTCAGCTGGTACTTTCTATGCTAGTCATCTGGTCTAGATGCACTTCTTGAGCCCATAACTACACTCTCTCGCTCCCTGTCATCTGAGCCCTGGCAGGCTTCCTGCTTTCTGTTCCTACTAGCAATAAGATGCAAGTTTTGAGTGGAGTGGAGTCCCCTGAACGGCTATGAGGACGTAAGGGCTTCTACAACTTGCTCACCAAAAGAGGTAGTGTAGCTTGAACCCCACAGGTTTGCTTGTTTGAACACCTGGTCTCCAGGTGGTGGTGCTGTTTGGGAAGGCTGGGAACCTTTAGAGGTGGAGCCTTGCTGGAAGAAGTATGTCACTGGATGCAGCCCTACAGTGATTTGGAATCCACCTGTAACTCTCACAAGCCAAACTGAATGCACAGCTTTAATCTTTTACCATGTTTCCTATTTGTGACTCAGTTATGTCCCAACTCAGAACAATGCATGTGTACATGAGATGTGACGATGATGAGGCTGAAAACAACAGTTGCCACAAACAACGTCTCCCCCACAAATACTGTAAACAACAGGGAGGCATAGATTGACGACATCTGTGTTTTTGTGTGCTGTTCTGAGTCAGTAGGCTTAGAAAAAAGTTTTTTCCTTTGAAAACTGCTTTAAGAGACTTCCTGGCTTTCTGATACATGTTTGATCTGCTGTTCAATAAATGAGAGGGGCTCTTTATTTGAGAGTTCAGATGTGAGAGACAGTTCAGAGAAGAATCAGAACACCTCAGAACAAGATCAGGCCCACTCTTGGTCAAACTACTCCAAGAGTAAAATTTCTCATGGATGCAGCACTACCACACTGAGGTGCCTCGTGTGAGGAACCAAGCACTACCACAGGTCTTACTTTGCAGCCTGGTCTGATCTTGAATTCATAGTCCTAGCTCAGCTTCCCAAGTACTGGGATTACAAGTATGTGCTACCATGACCAGTTGCCACAAGTTTGAGGCTAGCCTGGGCTATGCAGGATATTTGGGCCAGCCTGGGCTATATAGTAAGACCCTCAAAAACTAAAAAAGAAAGGGAAAAAATAAAAAATTAAAGAGTCGCCAGGAGGCAGAGGCAGGTAGATCTCTGTGAGTTCAAGGCCAGCCTTGTCTTCATAGTTCCAGGCCAACTGGGGCTACAGGGAGACCTGGTTTAAAAAACAAATATCCCAGCACTTGGAAGGCAGAGACAGGCAGATCTCTGTGAGTTCGAGGCCAGCCTGGTCTACAGAGCGAGTTCCAGGCAGCTGGAGCTACAGGGAGACCCTGTCTCAAAAAGACCAATAAATAAATAAATATAAATAAATAAATAAATAAATAAATAAAGTCACCTAGTATCCATTTCTTTCCTGGCTCCTAAGATAGAAGAGTCCTGAATGTAACACTCCTGACCTAGTGGCCTAAAGTCAGGCATGAGTGAGGATCTGAATGTTCTGGACGCCTTGCTACCATGGCTGCACGCCAAGCTCCCTCAGCTGACAGGCTACATCTGACTGCCATGGGGTTGAGAGAGGAACCTGGAGGTGGAGCTTCCCTTGAGTCTCATACTTCATATGACAGAACATTCTGATCCTGAAGCTTTCCAACTTGCACCTTAAGGAACAGGAAAATTGACCATGATGCTATCAGCTGCCATTAGCAGACTTCTTAGCAAATGTGAAAACCAAATGTCAACGACACTTTGATCTATTTGAAGGAGGAGGAAAAACTCGCCAATTAATAACATAACAAGCAGGAAGCTTTGTAAAAACCCCAAGAGTGACATGTTATGAAAAACAACGTTCATAAAATTTTAGCCAGGCATAGTGGTGCATGCTTTTAATCCCAGTACTCGGGAGTTCAAGGTTAGCCTGGGCTACATCATGAAATCCAGTCTCCAAAAAAGTGCATCTATTTAGATACACCACAGGTGTGTGGATTTTATATACAGATGCAGGGTTGGTGGTACTTAGTGTTAGCAAACCTATTCATGCCAGCTTGCATGTCAATTACCAGCAGAGAGGAAAACTCTCTTGTAGATGAAGGATTTTCAAACTCAAAACATACTCATCAGAATCACTGGAGTAATAAAAAACATGGGTCTAGGCTTACTGAAGCAGAAAAAAGTCTGTGTTGCTACCAGATTCCCAGGTGACTCAGATACCCACAAAGTGTGAGCACCATTCACCTTTGCTGCACAACTGGGGGATGTTTAAAAAAACCTAACACTCAAGCCATACCTAATACCAACTAAATCAGAAACATTGTTGGATCAAGTGGCAGCACTTTTTTAACTCGCCACATAGATCCAATGTTCACCCAAGTACTAGTTCTTCTCAAACTTAAGTGTGCACTTATCACATGAGGATATTAAGTTTAGTTTTATCTAGTAAGTTTACTTTAGTTTAAAGAAAGGTCTTCCCCCTGTAGCCCAGGCTGGCTTGGAATTCATTACAGAGGCCAAGTTAGCCTTGAATTCAAAGCAATCTTCCTGCCTCCACCTCCTAAGTGCCAGGATTGCAGGTAGAGCCTCCATGCCCAGCGGATTCTGTGCCTCTAACAAGTCCCTGGTGACAGCAATGCTCCCAGTCTAAGAACCATATTGTAGGCAGCAATGGCACACATCTGTATTGTCCACCAGGCCATCCCAGCCACATGAGGCAATTCAAATTAATTCAAATTAAAAACTTAGCTCCTAGGCTGGAGAGATGGCTCAGCAGTTAAGAGCACTGACCGTTCTTGCAGAAAACCCGGGTTCAATTCCCAGCACCCACATGGCGGCTACTAACTGTCCTTAACTCTAGTTCCCGGGGAATCCAAAGCCCTCTTCTGACCTCCTCGGCACTGCACAACACGGGTGCACTCACATACATGCAGCCAATACACTCGTACACATAAAATAAAAATAATATTAAAAAAAAAACTCAGCTCCTTAGTCACACAAGCCACATTTCAAGTACTCTGTAGCTGTTTAGCTAGTGGCTACTATATTGGAACAAATATTCCACAGAGCCTTCTGTTTATTGTAGGAAATTCTACTGGGCACCACTCCTCTGACATCCAACCATTAAACAGAATATAAAAGTTATAAGATGATCAAGTTCAAGTAAGAGTGTAGATGATTTACTGTTGACTTTATTGCTGGCTTTATTATTATTATTATTATTATTATTATTTTGGTCTTTTTGAGACAGGGTCTCCCTGTAGCCCCAGCTGACCTGGAACTCGCTACGTAGACCAGGGTGGCCTCGAACTCACAGAGATCTGCCTGCCTCTGCCTCCTGAGTGCTGGGATTAAAGGCGTGCACCACCACACCCGCTGGCTTTATTTTTTTTTAACTTTAATTTTATTTATTGTTAGTGTGCATTTATATGTGTGTATAATGGGGGACATGAGTGTGCTATGGCTCAATTGTGAGGTCAGAGGACAACTTTGTGGAGTTGGTCTCTTCTTTCATCTTTACATGGCTTCCAGGGATCAAATTCAAGTCATCAGGCTCTTGTGGCAAACACCTTTACCCACTGAGCCATCTCACCCATCTTAATGTTGGTCTCATAAGTTGTTTACTTGGACTTTTAGGTAACAGTTGAGAATTACTCTAGAGTGAGGACAAAAATGCAACCAATGGGGAAGAAGGATTCAAAAGTATGCAAATAAGCACATAATGTAAAACAAGCAGGGAAACAAATCAGAGGTCAGTATGAACCAAACAAATGACACTGGTTCAAATAGCAAATTATAGACTTAGGGAAGGTGTGAGGAGGGGTCAGTGAAGACAAGATGGAAAATGGCCATGAACACAGCAGGGAAAGGACCAGAGACTAGGGCCTATGACTATGGATAATCAATTACAAAGCATTGTTAAAGGTGTCACAAACATAGCACCATATCTGACCTTAGCCTCCATTTTCTAACTCAGAGAGAGTTCAGATTATACTTGTAAAAATAATTAAATATTTTAATACATTAAAGATGGAAAAGGAACAAAATATTAAAAGGATCAATATTATAAACACACGAGGAAGGTATCCAGTTAAATACTTCATGTACTCAAAGGGTATTACATAAACTTTCTAGTAAATAACAAAAATTGAGGTTCTTCTTCAGTAAGAATGTAGGTTGGACTTATTTTTTTTCTTTTAATTTCAGGGCTGGGGATTCTGGCTCAGTGACAGGGTGCTGGCCCAGCAAGCAGAAAGCCCTGGGTTCAATCTCCAGCACCACCAAAACCAAAGCCAAAACCAAACAAAATGTAACTTTCATCACCAGAACACGTGACCATGGACAGGCTTGAAGCCTAGAGTAAGTCCTAAGAATAGCTGCAGTTTTGGAGATATGAGCAGTTATCACTGGATAGAATGGCTTCAGAGTAGAAGCAATGGTGTTTGAGGGGCAACATCTGTCTTCTTCCAGAATCAGTTGTTACAAATTTCATACTATAAACCAGCTTTATCTCAACATAATGGAGCAGCATTGCCTCAGCTAGGTGAGCCCAACAACAAACAGGTGAAGGACAGGCAATATCCCTTGTTGGTTCCAGGAGACCAGAGCTACCCACAGTCTTTACCCAGCACACCATCCTCTGGACAGCTGCTGTGCATTTTAAAGTGGGTTTAG